GTGATCAAAACTTTCTTTTTAAAATCAGATGAACTGTGCTGCAAATTAATCGAAAAAACTGGGCTGATAGCACAATATGTTCAGGAATGACTCTTGGGCATGTCCTAAATAATTACAATGCCAGGCAACCATGCTGAGGTAAACTACTTTTCCACTAGGGCCTCTCTAGGCCATGTTAATCAGTCACTTTCGAGGCCCAGCACATTAAAAATATAATTCTGTGTAGTTTATTAATTTGTAAAAGGGAAGAACATTCTTCTGACTGCCCTGAGTGCATCACATCAAGGTGACTTTAGAGAAAGCTGAAGAGAAAGTAGGTGATGCAAGTCACAGACCAGTTAATCAACTTAAGAAAACAAACCAAAGGACTTGATTATCTCATAAATCATCTGGCATACTGTGTCCAGTGAAGACTCTCAGGCTATGTTCAGCAATTTAATAACTTAATCCAGCAAAATAAATAACAAGATCTGAGTGAAAACCTTAAACAAAGGGCTTCTGATGCAAGTGAGGCAGCCACAATTTCTAAGTGTCTCTGCAGACTAAAGGAAAGGTTCCAGAATTAAGTAGGGACGCTAATCAGTGGAAGACAACCCACCGAGCTTATTCAGATTACAACATATTTTTGGTGGTATGAATGAACCAGTTAATTACTTAACTTTATTTTCCAATTGCTTTTTTTTTTCTCTGCAGAAGACAGTCAAGGTCAAGTAAAATTTCTTTCTTATGGGTTTTCCAGAGTTGTCTCTAGCAAGCCTCTTCATATAAACCCACAAGCTAATTTCTTCTTCCCACTCTACTTTTCTGACTTAATGCCTTTCCTTTGTAACCTTCTCATTTGCCTATTGAAATCCCACCATAATATACAATTCAGCATCAATCCTACCAAAGCCACAAAGAACACCCAGAAAACCCAAAAGGTCCCCCTTTTAAATTTCTGTCAATTCCAATGATTTCTAGTCCTTAAAGTATGAAGACTGTGTTCCTAAATCAAAAAAAGATTTACCAACTCCTCTTCCCTTCAATGAGATGGGCAGAAAAGGAACCAAGGAAAATTTTCCACCCTGACGGAGTGGGAAGGTAAAAGATGTCATTGGTGGAAGTTGGACTCCTTTACGGGAAAGGGATGCCAGAGGACATTAGTAGTACGTATAAAGGTCTGTATGAAAATGTTTCTATGTATACATTCAAAAATATTTGAGCGCTCCCTGTGTGCTAGGCAGTTAATAAGAGAGAGAGCCTCCTCTCGAGAACCACAGAAGAGTCCACAATCACATTAGGTTGGAAACCTGCAACTGTGGTGGTCTCTGGAGATTCATACTGGACACTGTCATATAAAAGTCCTGAAAAGTCCTACCATTAAAAAAACACACACATACAAAAACACATCATTTTTAATTTAGTTTTACTTCCCAAACTAATTTGACCACAGAGCCCTCCCCTGCTTTGGTTCTCGCAGAATCTATTAATATCTCATGCAACTAGAGTGCTGTGGAACATACTTGGGGAAATGCTGTATAAGAGCAATTCAAATGCTGAGAAAAATGCTGAACCTGGGAGAGAAGAAAATTTTGTTATCCACTTTGGAGATCTGAGTAGAAGGGATTCTGTCTGGGAAAAGAAAACTGAAAACTGGGTGGGGGAGTTTGGAGGTGTGGGCAGAGAAACATTCCAAAGGTTTCAATCCTTTTCAGTGGTTTTCCTCAGACTTTAAAAAACAGACCAGAGAGTCTGTTCACTTTTAAGTTTTAAAGTCACTTTTAAGTTTCTTAAACTTTGCAACTCTGTCCACAGCAAGATCATGTGGATACTATTCCTAGGGAACGCTAAGCTGGCTCCACCTTCTTCTCCAACTCTCCTTTATCTCAGAATTTTGAGGAAAAGAAGCTCAGATAGTTGTCTCCCTTCTGTGAAGTCCAAGTCCTGGTTGTATTTGCAGAAATCAAGTAATTTTGGTTACTACTGACTGCAGTCATGTTTATTTTGCATTATGGTCGCCACAATAATATCCCAAACTGCTAATACTCAATCCTGGAGTTAAGTTTTATATTAAGGCAAAAATATCAGAGAATATAATTTTGACTGCATACTTGAAATATATGACTATACTAGTATTTTAAATTGTATTAACATCAAATATTATAAAACCCACTTTATAATGTGAAAGGATGGTACTGCTCCAGTGAACTCTCTCTTGTAGTCCTTATATAGACACTGGGGATGGGAACCCCTAGAGGCTGTCTTGTCAAAATGTTAATTCACAAGCTTGAAAAAAAACAACACACTTTTCTCATATGCTTGAAATATTTTGTAACAAAAAAACCCAAAACATATTCCTGTTAGCCTAAATGAAGTTATTGAGTATGCACCAGAACAGTTCCAAAGCGTGTATGCAGTGCAGAACTGGCAGTATCCTGTGTAATGTGAGAGTCTCAACTGCTACCAATGAAAATAGACAAACTCAGGGAGACTAATCTTCACTGAGATCCGAACTGAGCACCAGGCTTCTTTGCTAATCATGCTGTCCTTTAGTATTTTCTGACCAACAACTAATGTAGCTGAGTTTCAGAATGTCAGCTCTCACGTTTGTGTTTTATGGTAAAATTAAGTGGTGCAGTAAAATAATCCAAAGAATCAGAGTGAATAATATATATTTTAGTATATAGTACTTTTAAAAATATATAAAGTATGTAACAGAAATTTATTAATGGAACTGTACTCCATGTTTGTTTGGCCTTCCTGCGGTGTATAGAATTTTTATAAAATATTTTGATGGCTTAACTTGGATGAAATGTCTATTGTTTCACAGCCTAAAAAGCAGTTTTAAAGTCTTAGCAATAATCATTTAAAATTTTTAACTTATTTTCACTTTACACTATTGAATTTTTAGAATCCTTAAAGGTGGTGGATATTCATCAGAATAGTATGCCTTTTCCTCCACCGAAGTGAGAACATTTTCAAAAATCATTTATCGTAAGTGGGGCTCAGAGAAATAGGTACTTTCATTCATTATTGGTGGATACATAATTTAGGACATACTTTTTCAAAGTCAGTTTAGAAGCACACACAAATACACATGTGCATGCACATGTTTTTTATATATATATGTGTGTGTGTGTGTGTGTGTGTGTGTGTGTGCTTACATATACATGTGTGCATGCATTGATACATAGATAGTTTGGACCATTTTCCTAAGAAATATTAGAAAATGTTATATGCACTCATACATAGTTTTTTATAGGGATGTTTATTACATTTTATAAGTGTTTATAGGTAAAAAAAAAAGTAGGAGCAATTTAAATACCAAGTTTAATGGGAAAATTGAATAAATTTCATTATATCCATACAATGAACTATCATGTATCAATTAAATCATTTGTGCAAGAGTACCAAACAACATGTTAAAGCATTGATATATCCTACAAACATATTACACAATACTATGTACAGCATGATGTCATGTTTGTGTCCAGAAAAAATACTAGAAGAGTATCTGCCTAAATATTAACAAGGACTATACTTGAGTGATAGACTTATAAATGGATTTTTATTTTTTATTATAATTTTCCTTGTCTTTCAAGTTTTCTGCAGTGAATATGAGTTGTTTATGAAATAAACAAAACAAATGTTACAAGTTTCTGGATATATTCATACCCTTTATGTCCTAACATGAGGAAATAAACAGATACACACTTAAAAATATACGTAATTACAACTATGTTCTTTTCTGACTTGTTTATAGTAATAAAATACTGGAAGCAACTCAAATATCTGACGTTAGGGAATTGGTTTTAAAAAATAACAGTGCATTCATGCAATGGAATATTGCACATTCTTTAAAATCAGATTCTTTAAAATATTTAAGAATGAGGGAAAATGCTTATAATATATTGTTTAAAAGGTATATAGATAGATGCATACATAGACATACTATGATTCCAATTTTGATTGCCTAGAAAAATATTAGAATTACATTAACATGTTAACCGGGGTTACCATTGGATGGTGAAAGTGCTTATAGTTTCTTTTGATTTTCCATTTTTATAATTTTTTACGCTTTCAACATTTATAATTTTTATAAACAGAAAAATGTAAACAACAAAGACGTTTGCTTTATTACTAGTGTATTAAGATACACCATCTATATGAGCATGATCCCTTCAAATTTTTTTTCAAACTAGCATTTCTGCTTTATGTATTAGTGTACCACACAGTAAGATAGGGATATTTAAATATTTTCTTTTAGTCCTTGGATCTCTCTGACAAACGGTAGGAAGAATTATGACCAAAAGGTTTGCTTTGCTCTGTAGGTGCTTAAAACAGCACGGGAAAGGGATGCTCAGTAGGCTGGCCCCAGAATCACATTTCTGAACTATGATATTAAGGTTTCTTAATCATTTAGCTGTTCAGAATCTGAGTAAGTAAAGGTCAAAGTAGTTTCAAGTTCAGTGACACCTCAGATGTAGCCTTCTTCCATGTTACAAGGGCCACGCCAGCAGTCTGAAGGTTTTTTGAGATCGTTAAGAGAGTTTATGCCTTTAACATAGCTCTGTTAATAACCTTTGAATGATTGTCAAGGCAAGTAACCATCTATGCTAGACTCAGGAAATGGAATTGTGGATACACGCACGCACGCACACACTCAGAAGACTGTGGGGGAGGAACAATGTTTTTATATCCTTAATCATTCAATATATTTTTTGTTGTTGCAAAAGGCTTTACATTATCATTGCATGCTGCATTATGGGCAATAAGCCCAAAGATTTATCTATGTGCTAGCACTGATTTTTTTTCCCCCGCACTCCGTGCAACTCATAAGCTTTAAAAAATACAACAGGGCAAGAATTTTTGCTTCCCAGATAACAGGCAGAACTGACACCAAGTTTAGATAAAGATCAGACCAATAAAATAATTAAAAGGTGCAAAGTGCAAAGGAAAGCAAAAGGAATGGAAAGTAAATTTGTGAGTGTAGGGGAAATACAGCAAGAGTTAATACTTACTTGATTTGTCCTTTCTCCACGTACGTCGTTCTATAAAATCCCACGAGCGAGCCGTTCAGCCAGCCAGCAAACTCCATGGTCAGGAGGTAGGGATCCTCGGCCCCGCTGGGGGCGAGCTCTTCCTCTGCCTCCAGCACCACATACTCCTGCTTCGCGTACTCGAAGCACCGCCGGACTCGCACCTGCGCCCCGGAGCGCCGCTTCAGCACCGGGAGCCGGCTGATCTTGGTCTCCCGGAGGTGCAGCCACAAGTGCCGGGTGGACGCACTCACGTTGATGGTGATGGTCACACTGCCCGTGTACGTGTCCTCCTCCAACACGGGCTTCATCTCCAGGTCGTAGTGCATCGGGTTGATGAAGTCCGGCAGCCTGAAATTCTTCCAGGCTCCACTTTCATCGTCACTGGCAGGGCAGACCCCCTGGTCCTGGGGAGGGTTCGCCGTGGGAGGACCCTGGGTAGAGCTCGCCGTGGGAGGACCCTGGGTAGAGCTCGCCGTGGGAGGACCCTGGGTAGAGCTCGCCGTGGGAGGACCCTGGGTAGAGCCGTCTTCCGTAGGGCCACACGATCTGGTCAAGCCCACGGAAAGTCCTACTATCAATCCTACACCCACCACCACCGCGCAGATAATGGCCACATGTCTCGTTTTAATGCAGTATCTCTTCGAGTCTTCTGCCTCCGCGAAGTTCATTTTTGTTTCCAAAGTAAAATGTGACACATGAAAGAATGTTAAGTTTAACTAACGTCAGCAGACGTCCTTTTAAAATTGGAAGGAATGCCCTGGTTTGGCAGCCTGTTTTCGTTTTTCCCACACCTCTCTGGCTTCTGGCGTCTTTCCCTCTCTCCGCACGTTCCCACCAGCCACTCAAGGATGAATGCGGAAACGGGAGTGTGGGGCGGGTAGAAGAGGAGCGGAGCAGAAGGAGGAGGACTGACGAGAAAATTGTCACAGCTCCCTTATAAACCGTGCTCCCCCACCCGCACCCCCGGCGCTGGAAGGAGTTAAATATAAAACAGCGCTTAGCTTATCAGCCAACAGGAGGGGGATCTTTTGCCAAAGCTCTGTCAGCAGCTTTCAGGGAGAGAACGTTTGAGGAAGAGGTGTGCTTGCAATAGAAAAACTCAACCTTTATCACTGGGTCTCTAGCTTCTTCCTGTTGTGCTTACAATCTCTCTCTTAACCAAAGGGCTTCTTGAATTTCAGCTATAATATTTTATTAGGTAGCTTGCCAAAGAAGTTAAGTGTTTTGGTTTCATTCTTTTCCCTCATATTATGTAAACATTCAGACCCTGCCTTTTGCCAAAGTTATACCCTGGAATTGGATACTCAGTGATACATAGATTCAAGGATCACGTAGGTACTCAGTAAATATTTGTTGAATTGGTGGATAAGTAAAGCATGGCCAGGTAACCCTAAATGAGTTCAGTGGATGCTGGATGAAAGAGAGGAGGGAACATGAAGGAATTAGCCAAAGCAGTACTGGAGCGAAAAGCCTAAGCAGTAGAGAGAGACAGAAGGGGAAAGGATGAAAGGACAGAAGATAAACTTGTTAGATAATCTTGTTTGGCTAGATAACTACATCGAGTTAGTCAAACTTGTCTCTGCAGTTTGCCTCCAAGTTTGACTTCTTGAGACTTCAATGTGGTAGATCACTTTTGGAGGAGATTCTGCCGTGAAAGGAGGCCTGTTGCGAGATCCATTACCTATGCAAACCTATTGTTTCTGAATGACAAGGCTATTATCATTCTATGTATTATACATGGGGTGCTGTTGGCTCATCTGAAAACTGGGGACATCTCCAGAGATGTTGTCAGTAATTAACATTATATTGTGATTATTTGACTGGCTCTTTACACCTACCAGTTAATCAGGGTCAAAGACCATGATTCAGGAAGATAACAAACAAACAAAAATGGCAAGTTAGAGTCACAATGGAGGAAGCAGAATCTGTATTATATAGGGACCAGAGAGGATCGGAACCAGTTTCTCTCCATCTTGCCACACAGTCAATATTATAAGCATGTCAATTCTATAGCCCCCAAGATCAATCCAAGTATTTCCAAACTTTAAAGGTTGGAATTGAAAAAGGAGCGTGCCATTGCACATGCCTTACTTAGCCAACCATGAACTCTAAATACACGTTGGCAATGCTCTTTGTGATCCTGCTCAACTACATTTTATTTCCAATGCCTGTGCCCTATTCTCCATCTTTTATTTGTCCTCAGCAACTGTTTTAAAAGGATCAGTCATTTTTAAGACTAAGTGATCTCAACAATTTCCAAGAGCTGAAAGCAGCTGCAGATGTCAGGACAGAAAATGTTCAGCGTGTCACATCTAACTTTTATTGGTTTCAATGATGAATGTGTCCAATGACTTGCAGAAAATGGCAGTGCACAGTAGGGAGGATGAGAAAGAAGAGAATGAGAAAGAGGAGCAAGAGGCAAAGGAAGAGGAGAGGAATAGAGGGAGAGGAAGGAGAATTTCCAAAGATGATGAGGAGAATAAATGTCTAAAACACATCCAGACACAATTCAATAAAAAATACACATCAATGAAAAAAATAGGTTTATGTCATCTCTATTCCTTGAGAATCTGTCTGCAGGGTTTCCTGGGATACACAGACTGTGCTCATTGTCCCCCACCCCCTTAATCTGTGGGCACCAGGGCTTCACAAGTCACAAGCAAGAATCAAAGACCTGTCACTCATTTGGATCTCTCTGGGGAGAATCAGCTCACTTCACCTAACCCTCAAAAAATGTCTCCAGGTCACCATGCATTCATTCTTTTTTTCTTTCAATCAATCAACAAATATATATTGACTCAATAACAATTAACATAAAAAACATTTATTTATTTTTAATATTTTAATTTTTAATTACAGTTGACATACAATATTATATTAGTTTTAGGTGTACAACATAGTGATTAGACATTTAGATAACTTATGAAGTAATCACCCAGATAAGTTTAGTACCCATCTGATGCCCTAAATAGTTATTACAATATTATCGACTATATTTCCTATGCTCTACTTTACATCCTCGTAACTGTTTTTTTTTTAACTGGCAATTTGTGCTTCTTAATCCCTCGCCCTTTTCACCCATCCCACCAAACCCCCTCATATCTGGCAACCATCATTTTATTCTCTGTTTATTAATTTTATTAGTTTGTTTCTGTTTTGTTTGCTCATATATTTTGTTTTTTAGATTCCACATATAAGTGAAATCGTATGGTATTTGTCTTTCTTTGCCTGACTTTTTCATTTAGCATAACACCTTCTAGGTCCATCTATGTTGTTGCAAATGGCAAGATTTCATTCTTTTTTGTGGTTGAGTAACATTCCGTTGTATAGACATACCATTTCTTCTTTATTCATTCATCTGTTGATGGACACTTCAGTTGCTTCCATATCTTGGCTATTGTAAATAATGCTGCAATGAACGTAAAATTGCATATGTCTTTTTGAATTAGTGTTTTGGATTTCTTTGGATAAATACCCAGAAGTGGAATTGCTGGGTCACAAGTTACTTCTATTTTTAACGTTTTTGAGGAAACTTTATACTGTTTTCCATATTGGCTGTACCAGTTTATAATCCCATCAACATTGCACAAAGATTCCCTTTTCTCCACATGCTCACTAACGCTTGTTGTTTCTTTATTTATTGGTGATGACCATTCTGATATTTGTGAGGAGATATCTCATTGTGGCTTTAATTTGAATTTCCCTGATGATTAGTGATGTTGAGCATCTTTTCATATGTTTCTTGGCCATGAGTATGTCCCCTTTGGAGAAATCAGTATTCAGGTCCTCTGCCCATTTTTAAGATCAGATTGTTTGTGTTTTTGTTAAGTTGTGTCAGTTCCTTACATATTTGGATATTAACCTCTTATCAGATGTACAGTATGTGAATATCTTCTCTCATTCAGATGGATGTCTTTTAATTGTGTAGATGATTTCCTTTACTATCCAAAAATTCTTTAGTTTGATGTAGTCCAATTTGTTTATTTTTTCTTTTGTTTCCCTTGCCCAAGGAGACATATCCAAAAACATATTTCTAAGAGCAAGGTCATAGAGTTTACTGCCCATGTTTTCTTCTAGTACTTTTATGGTTTTTGATCTTACATTTAAGTCTTTAATCCATTTTGAGTTTATTCTTGTATGGTGTAAAAAAGTGATCTAGTTTCATTCTTTTGCATCTGTCTGTCCAACTTTCCTAGTACGATTTATTGAAGGAAATTTCTTTACTGCACTATATATACTTGAGTCCTTTGTCAAAGATAAATAGAGCATATGGGTATGGATTTATTTCTGGGCTCTCTAGTCCATTGATCTATGTGTCTGTTTTTATGCCAGTTTTTCTTTTTTTTAGTGATTACTGTAGCCTTGTAGTATAGATTGATATCAGGTAGCATGATACTTCCAATTTTGTTCTTCTCAAGATTGCTTTGGCTATTAGGAGTTTTTGTGGTTCTATATAAATTTTAGGATTATATATTCTAGTTCTGTGAAAAATGCCATTGGTATTTTGATAGGGAATGCCCTGAATCTGTAGATTGCTTTGGGTAGTATGGATATATTAACGCTGTTAATTCTTACTATTCATGAGCATGATATATGCTTCAATTTATTTGTATATTCTTCAGTTTCTTCAATGTCGTACAGTTTTCCTAGTATAGGTCTTTTACCTCCTGGTTAGATTTGTTCCTAAGTATTTTATTATTTTCATGCAATTGTAAATGGCATTGTTTTCTTAATTTCTCTTTCTGATAATTGTTGACTGTATAAAAATGCAACTGATTTCTGAATATTAATTTTGTATCCTGTTACTTTACTGAATTTATTTATTAGTTCTAATAGTTTTTTGTGGAATCTTTAGGCTTCTCCCTCTATAATATTATCAACTCCAAATAATGACAGTTTTACTTCTTCCTTTCCAATTTAGATGCCTTTTATTTATTTTTCTTGTCTGGTTGCTGTAGCTAGGACTTCCAGTACTATGTTGAATAAAAGTGGTGAAAATGGACATCCTTGTCTTGATTCTGACCTTAAAGAAACAGTTTTCATATTTCACCATTGAGGATTATAATAGCTCTGAGTTTGCCATGTATGGCATTTATTATGTTGAGGTATGTTCCTTCTATCCCCACTTTGCTGAAAGTTTTTATCAAAAATTGATGGTGGGTTATGTCAAATGATTTTTCTGCATCTGTTGATATGATCATGTGATTTTTTATCCTTTATTTTGTCTTCTCAAATTAGCTGACTCCCTGTGTTTATTTTTATGTATTAGATAGATCTACTATGTTTCTTGGTCTTGGCAGAGTGGCCTTATGTAGTAGTGTCATTTAAGGCCCAGAGGTGCAGTCTCCCTGGTCACCTGAGCTGGGTGCTCCGGGGTGTCCCTTATATGGGTTGTGTGTGCCCTCCTGTTGTAGCTTTGATTTCTGTTAGGTGTGATTGACTCTCAGTCTGAGGAATGGCTATGACTCCAGTGAATGAACTTTTGTATGGGAGATGACTCCACAAAACAGGATTCACTGTAGCAGGGCTCTGGTGCCTGCTGAGTCCACCCTTTTGGTGCATTGTTTATGTAGTTGGCTGGGTGGTACTCTGGTTTGTTCTGAAGCTGGCTACTGGGTATGTTGGTACTCTTGGGCAGGTATCTGGTGCAGGCCAAGGTCAGCTGCTGCCTGTCTCCAGCCTAGGGCCACCTGGTAGGAGCTACAAAGTGATCTACAGTAGATTCTCACCTGTGTTATGTTTGGAGGTACTTGGGAGAGGCTAGGCTGAGTACCAAGGCTGGCTGTCATTAATGTCATGTTTGGGGCCACTTAGCAATTAGTATGGGGCACACTGAGGCCAACCATTGATTGCTTGGGGTTTTTGGACCTTTGTGCAATTTTAGGAAAGTCCTTAGCTTGAGTGGAAAAGCTGCTG